TAGTTCAAGTGTCTAAATAAAATTTGCGATTCAAGTTTGAGGTATTGTCATGTATTAACCCTTTGATTTATAATCATATATGATGTATAGTCTATCTACTAAGTTCATATATCGAAGCATTTATAAGTTTATTTTTATCTTGTAGATTGTCAATTTTGTTTGTTTTAAAAGTTAGTAAATATTGTAATTTGTACATAACAAAATAGTAGGGATCTGATTTGTTTTCATTGAACACAACAACAGTTGATCGATCGTGGCTAATGATCCGTGAATTACGCCTACATATTGTTTTGTTTTTTACTTTGTGAATTCGACCTCTTGGAAATTGAGGACCGCTAATATATAAAATACTCTACAAAACTACTACCTGAACTTCACTTAAATGCTCTTAGAGCTTTTACTTCATCACCTAGCAATTAACCACTTAATTCATTCTTTTTAATTATATATTTTAAGGGGGACTGAGTTGGTATAACAGATGATGTGTAGAGAAAGAATAGCGAATGCAAATTTCTTCATGTGGTATCAAAAAAAAAAATTGTAGTCATTACACTGTTGATCAACTACAAGTAACTGCTCATAACGAAGCTTTAGTAACATGATTAAAAATAAGGTAGGCAACCGTTACAACAAGTTAAAATACGTTAGTAGAAAAATTGTTTACATTATTAACGTATATTTAATTTAATAGCTAAAATACTCTTTAAAATATCATGTCCAATACCAACAACGGTGTCATGGTATTGGGAAACTTGAAATTGTTTGAATACCCTCTTCTGGAATGGTTTTTTTTTTTTTTTTTAATTCTTAACTTTGAGGTGAGGTTGAGAAGGTCCTTAATTTTATTAATATGAGTTATGATACAGTGGTGAGACATCCTTAATCAGAAATCTCGGGTTTGAGCCTTGGGTATGAAAAAAATAATATTGGGAGAGCCACTACCGAATGGACCGTGGAGTGCGCAATTTAAATTTTACTGGGGCTCCAATGTGACTTCCGGACACATGGGCGGAGGAAAAAAGAAAAGAAAAAGAGAAGGCCCTCAATTTTAGGAATATGAAGAGAATGTATATGAGAGTGCTTAAAAATATAAGAATTGAGGAAGGATTAATATATTTGCAAAAAGTTTGGTTCGTTAGGTATAGTAATCAGGTGTTAACATATATTCCGATTGAATTAGAATCTTTGTAAATGTAACATGTTCCAATGAAGGTCCAAAAATCATCAATAGAGGTTAATAATATATACTACAAACTGCCTAAAGTTTTTTTTTAAAATCTAATTAAGGTGATTGTACCGTACATTTCCGTTAGAAGTCAAACTTTATTATACATTATGATATTCAATAGAATAATTACGCAAATTTTGAGAACTTTGCCACTTTTCGTACCCTACTTAAATTTAGATTATTTAATTAATGTATTCTTACCGTAATTATTTAATTGGAATTGAGTTATTCGTGGTGAAAAAATTGCAAGCTACATCCTCACCAAAACAAGATAACGTAAAATATGTTATTTTCAGAAATCAAAAGTCAAAAATACCAGACTATTGGATGCATATTGGGCTAGGTGAAACAACTTGACCACGTTGTGTTTTTTTTGTTTCTCCCTTTCACCTAGACTGATTTAATTTCTCGTGATCACTTAATTAATCATTATTATTTCATAAATTCATTTTTTTATTGTAAGAAATGCAATTTTTTAGTTAATAATTATTAGTCAATTAGTGATTATATGATAAACCAACTCGTTAAATTTGTCATGCAATTTGTAGTCTTTTTAAGTTAAAATGAAAAGTTCTACCAAAAAAAAAAAGTTCAAGAACTCTATAGAAATTCTAGACACACAATGGAAAATCAGAGATATGTATATTTAAAGTAATGATGCTAGGATTGTCCCTAATTATGTCAACTTAAAAAGACAGGACATATTGGTCTGCGTAGTTAATTGGGATGTTTTATTATTATAATAATTAATAGGGAACAGATCTTTGGTGATGATTATATAAATTAATCATTCCTTAATAACCTACATTCCTTCTGAATTGGATAATATTCATTCATTTTAAATACAAAAAAACGTTGTAAACATTATGATTAATTCCTTGATTTCTTATAATAATAATGTAGGAGCTTGCTGATGTTTCGTTAATAATAAATTATTTCATTAGGGGTTTTACTTTAGAACGATTAGGTACTGACTAATGACTACACATATGAAATGAAGAGCGTAAACTTAATGCGACAAAGAAAAATGGGTAGAGCTGATATTTTTTCATAGTTCGATACATGAAAAATCTTTTTAATTATTAAAAAGACGACAGATAAATGCTAAAATGCATGGTGTGCCTAGTAATTGAATCATGTGACCATTTTATTTATTAAAAAACAATTAAATTATTAATATTATATATATTTAACGTCTCTGTATTCTATAGATCTTGATTAATAGAAAAGAGTCAAAGTCAAAGTTTACAAGTAGTATGGTTTGTCGACTATCCCTACGACTCCCCGTGTGATATGTCACTCTGATTTGATACAAACGAGCGAGTCTAGTCAATTAAAAAATGAATTAAATAAAAATAGATAAGTTACTCGACTCAATTCATATTTTAAATGGGTAAAAAAGAGTTATCCAATGGATAATATGGACACCCATATTTATCCATATTATAATAGAAATCTTGTTAAAAAATTTTAAAACAAAAAAAAATTAAATTTTTTTTTTATCACTTCACTCCACCCCCTACTAGCCCCCTACCCCATTCCAAAAAAAATAAAAAAATTACCACCCCGCCCCTACCAGTCCCCCCACCCCTACCCCCCTACCAGCCCCCCCCACACCCCATCCCAAAAAAATATTAACAAAAAATTAAAAAAAATTCATTAAATTTTTTTAATTTTTACCACCCCACACCCCTACCAGCCCCCCTCCACACCCCATCCAAAAAAAAATTAACAAAATTTAAAAATTTTACATTAAATTTTTTTTACAAAAATTACCACCCCACCCCCTACCACCACCCCCACACAAACACACCCTACCCCCTACCAGCCCCCCCCCTCCCAAAAAAAAAATTAACAAAATTTTAAATTTTTTCATTATAATTTTTTAATATATTTTTTTTTAAAAATTACCACCCACCCTCTACCAACCCCCCCCCCCCTCCACACCCCACCCAAAAAAAAAATTTACAAAATTTTAAATTTTTTCCAATAATTTTTCCAACCCACCCCCTACCAACCCCCTATCCCCAAAAAATGTAAAAAAAAAAGTTTCATTTTTTTATAGATTTTTGTTTTTTTAAAAAAAAAAAAAAACTTTCTTACTACCCCACCCTTTATCACTTATTTTTTGTTTGTGTGAATGCACATCTTTTACCCATTTTATCCATTTAACTACCCACTTTTCAATGGATAATATGGGTATTATTCGTTTTTACCCATTTTTAAATGAGTTGGATACCCAATCCATTTATAATGGGTAAATATGAGCGGATATCCATATTAATTACCCATTCTGCCACCCCTAGATACAACTCACAAAAAATATCTCATTATCCCCGAGGAGCCTTTAACTTATGGCATGTATCGGACCTTAATATATATTCGGATATCAATTTTTTAATTTATTATAATATATAGTGAAAATATACATTAGTTGATTATAATTAAGTGATTCAAGTATATGTACATATATATAATATGCATTTATTGGGTAAATGTATAATTTTTGATGTTATTATGTGATACACATATAGAATATACAATTTTGATACAAAATAGTATATATATTAGGTGATATACGTATAAAATATATAATTTTGATACAAAATAGTATATATATATATATATATATGTGTGTGTGTGTGTGTGTGTGTATGTATGTATATTTGATTAGTGAATGTAATTTTTTTTATGTAACTTGCCCAAGTTTTTATCCATCGGACCAAGAGCGACAGCCATATAGGGTCAAATATTATATTGTTTATACATGATTAAAATTATGTATAAAAGAGCTAATTACATTATTTCTCTACTATTTTTCAAATAACAAGAATTTCTTAATATTTATGGATTCCGGATACATCACTAGACTTCCGAATACATCACTGGACTTCCGAATACATCACTGGACTTCCAGATACTTATGGGAAGGGATGTATTAGAGAGGGGATATGACATCTGGATATATAAGTGAGGAGTGTATCAGAGAGGGGAGGGATGTAGCCGAGAGGGAAGGAATGTATCCGAGAGGGAGATAGGGATGTATCACCAAGAGGGGAGGGATGTATCAGAGAGGGGAGGGATGTATCCGAAAGGGAAGGAATGTATCCAAGAGGGAGATAGGGATGTATCACTGAGAGGAGAGTGATGTATCCGAGAGGGTATGTTTGAATTTTTTTAAATGGTAGGAAATTTTAGAGATTATGATAAAATAAGATGTGTATTTAGGTAATTTTTCCTAAAATGATCTTTTAAATATATATGTAGCAGATGTGGAATCTCCAATGACTTTTTTATCGATTTACTTCTTCATATTAAACCCGATAACTAAAAAACTCTGACTTCACCATTGCAATGGATCTCAAAGACAATAATTTTCACTAACACTTACAATGAAAGTACTATACAGATTTGAGACTGAAGATACTTATCAATGCAACTATTACAATTATTGCGGTTGGTCTATGTTTCCCTTTCAACATTTTTTAAAGTCTTTAATATGGCATCGGAAACTTAAACTGAAATACACATTTAAGGAAAGTACAAAATCTCATCAGTATATATCACTAGTATAATAGTTGTTCTAGCAAGTTGAATTTAATTTGTTTGAAAATAGTTGAACATTTTAGGGGAAAAAAAACGTGACTATATCTCCAAATCTGCCCTTATTCAATCAGTGGAGGTGTTATTTAAGTGAAATGTTAGTGGATAGATAAATGATTATTTTAACAAATATTCTAGAAGGCAATAAGGAATAATAAAAAGAGAACTAGCTATTACAAGATTTTATAATAAGGAACAAATGTTAAAAAATGGAACTTTAATACATCAACTAACACCTAGATTATTAAAAAAAAAAAAAAAAGAAGGAAAATTACAACTGAGCCTTTTCTCTTATACTTTTACAAAATGATAAGAATATAATTGAATAATATTTGAAATATGAAAAAGAGGCATATTAATATTCAAAGTATTGCACATAACGTCCTTCTTTTTTGGGGCCTTTTCTTCATCTTAGGGGGTCGCAATGCTACCTTAATTGCAGTATCAAATACAGCTTTCACATTCTGAAAATAAAATAAAATAAGATTGTTTATTTAGAGTGTAATTATTGTTCTAATTATTGATTTATCATAACGGAATTGTTAATTAATACCTGCTGAGTCTTGGAGCTGCACTCAATGTAGGCAACTGCTCCTATCATCTTTTTCAACTCCTCTCCCTAATTAAAGAAACAACAGAGTAATAAGCTATTTTTTTTGTTAATCACTGATTAAATTTTTTTAAAGTATAGTTAGTATAAGTGACTCATTTTATGTTGTAGAGATTTATGTTATTTGTTTGCAAAGTTGACCACAAAAACTCATACTTTTATATTAAAATGAAAAACTTCTTGTATATATACACATATGATGATATACAATGATATCCTTTCAAAAGCTTTTTGTATACATATATAATATATAATGATTTCATTTTCTGTAATTTGTCTCCGCATATACAAGCCAAACCACACGATGGCTAGTACCCGCTTTGCGCGGGAAAGTCAGACAACTCCATTCCCAAGATCTCTGATTAACGATGGAGGAATACTTATTGGCTCACTACCAGGCATCAAGATATATAATGTATCAATTTGTTTGGAATTAAATTAAGACCTTTTTGTTTTTAGAAATTTGCTAATGATTGCAAGTCAATAATGGGACTCACCTGGGCAGTTGATATAGGAGTAGCCCCTGGATGATCACTTAAATATTGTTTGTCTTCCCTCAGGTCTAGCAAAATTAAATTTAAACAGGTATAAATCATATTGCACATTAGGTTATAATATGTGTTTTGAAATATAATTATGACAAACTTAAAGATAATGAAATATTAAGTTGATCTTACCAAGTTTAGTTCCCACCAGAACAATTTGTATAGTAGGAGCATAGTGCCTTAACTCAGGAATCCACTGTTTGATGATCAATAATTAGAACTTTTGGTAAATAATTATCAACAAATAAATCACTAATGGACAGGACTAGAAATAGAGGGAATATCTTTGGATCATCTAGTTTTACGGTGTATAAATAGTGTATACTTTATACAAAATATACATATGATATACATCCATATACACAATATATACAGCCAAAGTGTATAAATGATATATACTTCGGTCATGTTGATAAACTAGATGGCCGAGTATATTTACTTAAGTTCCCAAAAATATAAATACACTAACCTTTTTGTAAATGTTCTCATAGCTTGCCTTGCTTATTAGAGAAAAAGCAAGCAAAAAGACATCAGCTCCTCTGTAACTTAATGGCCTTAGCCTGTTATAGTCTTCTTGTCCTGCATTTCACAATCAACTATTCAACAACACACAAAATCAAAATGAAATGTTCTTATATACCTACAAACAATATCCAAAAATATTCCCTCCAATGATATAAGTGAGGAATAAAAAAGACTCGTAATAGAATCAAAATTTTATATATGCACCCAAAGGTGTGGTCTAGTGGTCAATGAAATGGGTCGAGAACCATGAAGTTTCAGGTTCAAATTTCATCATAGACAAAACAACATTAGTTGATTTCTTCTCATCTGTCCTAGTCTTGGTGGACAAAGTTAACTGGTACTTGTTACTGGTGGAAGCTAATAGATATCCATGGAATCAGTGAAGATGCACGCAAACTACTCAGGCACCACGTTATCAAAAAGAAATCATATGTGAAATAAATTTAGCATCTACGTACATCCTACCCTCCATAGAACTCCAACTTGTGGGACTACACTGGTAGATTATTGCTGTCATTGCTGTGAAATAAATTTACCTGCAGTATCCCAGAGGCCAAGGTTAACGGTGCTACCATCCACCACCACATTTGCACTGAAGTTATCGAACACCGTTGGAACATAATCCTATGGAACAACATTAATCTTATGAAGTTAACAACTCGTATACATGAAACGAAGAGAAGATTAAAGAAAAAAAGTGAATAATATTACCGTTGGAAAAGTATTACTAGTGTATGAAATTAGCATACAAGTTTTCCCAACAGCTCCATCACCAACAGTAACACATTTGATGAATCTAGCAGTAGTCATCTTCTTATAAATTGGTTATTTCTTACAAACTTACTGCTTTGTTTCTTCTCTACAAGTTTTTTTAAAGATGAGAAACACTTTGTTTTTATTCTTTAATGATACATCTATCTTCTTAGCTAGTATATATCCTTCAAATACTTTTTTCTTTTCTCCTAATCATAACACCAACTTGTTCAAGTTAAAATAAGTGGATTTTGAAACTTAATGAAAAGATATTTGGCAATGTGGAGAGGGTTGGCATATTGGATTATACACCTAAGCAATCATTGCTTACACCACCCTTTTTACTTTCCTTTAACTTCAAGGCCAGATAGCCAAATGAAATAAAAAGGGGTTAAATTTTTTCAAAAAGAAAGTTTGTAAAGTAGGTGTAGTGGTGAGTGTTGGTTGGTTTAAGTGCTGAAGAAGCAATTGTATAAAGGATCAAAAGAGGGGAAAGGTTGCTTAATTGGACTATATACTATGATGATCAAAATAGAATATTTCAACAAATGGAAATTAAAAGTAGGGATATTTTCATAAATACACGTCCAACACAACAGTTTTCATCCACATATATAGTGACCTAACTTTCAAATTATATACCATATGGATTAATTCAGATAAGGGTTGAAAAACATGACTCATTTTAGTTACAAGTTCAAGTCAGGCAACTCATAATTGAGATTGAGAGTATAAGAGTGTCTTAGTTCAACTCGTTACGAAAACAAGTTTAAAAAATAGATTAAGAGAAAGACACATGGTACTAGTTCACTTTATTGTTTCTGCTTACCTTTAATGAAATTCACAATGATTAACGAACTTAATGTTCATATTAACTAAAAAGAAAAGATATCTGGAACTAGAACCCAAAGAATCTTTCATAGGTCTACTACCGTTACTGCAGTTCAGCTGGTCAGTACAACATTTCAAATGAGTAATTGTTGGGTCAACTGTTGTACAACAGCTTGGCAACTGATTCAATCTAACAAAGAATTCAAGCATACCAAAGGGCAAGGAAAAAGATTAAATCAACTCTTTTAGCACAAAGGCTATTATCTTATTCAAAGGCTCAGGAGATGACACGACTAATATGGAAAGTGCAACAGAGGCAGCGGACTATGATTCGTACTGGAGCATAATATGGGATGAACAACCAAAGTGAGCCAGGTCAAGAAAGCAAGTTACACAGCAGCAATTTGACCGTTGTGAGCAGCGCGGCAACAGAGAGGAAAAGCATACGCATAGCTTGAACTGGCTATGGGAGAAGTCGGGTAAACTCCGCGGAACTTGCATTTAAATTCCTGCAACAATTGGATTTTAGGTGATCAACTCCAGAATAGTCATAGGCTTTCCCTACTCTGTAGTCGCACCAAACTCACAATTTCATCAAAACACTGTTCAATTCTGATGATACACGTCTACTAAGCTCACCCAGGTGTGTATGACATAAGCAACCAGAAACTTGATAGTCAAGTTTGAAAAAAGCTGGTGAATATCACTATTTTATGCCAAGATTAAAGAGAAATACAAAGTATGGAGCCAATACACGAAGAATCAAATCTACATATATATTGTGGGGCGCATAGAAGCGGAAGGAAAGGAACCTCAGTAACACTGAGGTCGTGTTTTCACTCTGCAGCCAATCAAACACAGGGAAATAGGGGAGAACCACTTATTTTCTTAGGAACATTTTTCATACCAAACACCACAGTTACCTAATACTGTAAAATAGTCATAGCTCAATAATTCAACCAACAAAAAAAAAGTATACCCTTCCCATGATTGTTCATGTTAAGGCCAGAACTATTGTGTATACAAGATTTAGAGCTTTAAAGTATACTTCCATGATTTCATCTATAAGATGTCTACTTATAAACTAGACAATAACATAAATGAACGGTGAAATATAAACTCCATCATTAGCCAAATATTGGTAGGGATATATCTTGTACTAGGGGAATCATTCATAGTACCATCATATGTTACTTGCGAGCTTCCGACTTCTTCTGTTCTTTGGCTGCACAGAAAATATGCAAACATTAACCCTAGCAAATAAAGGAAGGGAATCTTAGACAACCAGCATGTAAGTATAGAAGAATGTACCAGCTTTCTCCTCCTCTCGCTTTTTGGCAGCATCTGCTCTTTGTTGTCGTATGAGAGCCAAGCGTTCTGCAAAATTACGAGATAGAATTAGAAGTAGCACTTTGCGATCAATAACAGAAGAAACACTGGTTCAAGTCCATGGCATATCATTTCAAAGTTCATTCATATCCAAGTTCTACAAAAGTGGAACAGCACAAAATCAATATATTTTACTTTTAATATGTGCCCAACCAGATGACAACTTATCCACTTCACAACTCAAATACAGTCCTTCACATGACCACATATTTACAAATGGTATGCTCATATTCAAGTAACAAGACAATTAAAATTAGACGTAAGAATAAAATTTGGTTCTGATGACAAAAACCTCAATCCATCCACCCAACACCTCAAACAATCTATTAAGTACAGAGAACGAACTACAAGACCAGATAATTCTAAACAAAACAAATTAAGTCTATTGCTAGAGCATTGCTCTGTGATATTACCTAAATCTTTCTTAGCTTGATCTGTTTTTCCTTGTTCTTGCAGCCTCATATACCTCTCATGAGCTTGTTGTTTCTCTATCTCTTCCCTGTGAACAATTACCATATTAAATTAATAACGACATAGAAGTTAAAAGGACCAGAAGATATGTCACCAACTATGTTACCGTGTTGCATGTATCGGTAATAGAATTAATACACAAGACTTGGGATATTTCTTCCTTCTTTTAGCTTGACTTGTCAACACCCCAAAGAACACAAAAAATACAATATAATTTCAAAAATATAACAATAACAAAAGGCTACAATTGTTCCCACTGTATGTAATTCAAGTTCATTGACACCCATTGAAACCACACACACACACACACAAGTAGCTGGGATTTTGGATAGAGCGAAGAGTATTTCACGTGCAAAGAAGCAGCTATCTGCAACAATGGCCTGGGAATATAGTCTTGTCGCAGAAAAATAAGAACTTATCTCGGTTTAAATTCGGGCCTTTAAGGTGTCCGTGAGATTTGGCACATCCTGAACTTCCTAGACATTGACAAACTCTGGCTAAAAGAAATAACTTTGGAAAGGATATTATTCCCTGTACATTCTATCTGACAAAGGTTGATTACAAGTAAAAGGACCAAATCCTTTCATCTTGAATAAATATATCCCAACATCCTAGCAGTCATATGTCGTAATCATTAGAGTGGTGCAGGCAGTTCAAAAATTTGATGATACAGAAATCCCAAAGATTAGTGATACAAGGTGTGAAACTCAAAAGATGCAGGACAGTAAAAACAATGAGAAAATGAAAAAAATATAGAGCAGTTGCTGAAATCCAAGAACAGAAAAGGGAGGGAGTATTCATTCAAAACATATAGGAGGCATACAATAAGGCTTCTTTATCTGTGACTTCATTGGGATCGTATTTTAAAGGAAACACAAAAGAAGGTTCAACTAACCTTTCACGTCTTGAAAGCTCAGTTGTTTTCTCAATCTGCACAGAAAATGCCCACATTCAAAGTTACATCCAAAAACAATTAAATTGAAGTATTGAACAAATGCAAGTTCACCGTGCCCCATCTTACATCAACATTTTTAGCTTTCACATTCTTTGGCTTCACCAAATTGGGGTTCTCAATCTCAATGATACCCTGGGTACCTTTCCGCTTCTGTTTGGAACAATAAAAGAAATGAGCCATCTGAATATACATTTTCCACAGCCACAAAGCATAGAGGACGCAAATTTCCAAATTAAATCAATTTCAACTTTGAAAGTGAGGATTCAAATAGTCAAAACCTCAAATAACTTGAGATTTAAGTATAGTATTTGTCACAAATTCTTTTACGATAAGAAGTGCACTAGGTTTTCTAACTAAGGAAATACAAAAAAGATTAAAAAGTAGTAGTTGTCACAAACCACTTACTCTTTCTTAAAATGTAAAGAAAATGAAGCAATGAATCATAGATAACTGACCTCTCCATCAGTATCTTCTTCAGATTCCTCTTCAGATTCCTCTTCGGATTTCTCATTTTCCTCAGCTTCAACCTCTTCCTGAAGACCTCAAATTGATCACGCAGAGCACACAAATATAGAAGTTAAGCATGAAGACAATACTAATTATAAAGGCAATTTTCTTTCATCATATATCAGATAATTCATATTATTCAAATCATCAATCTCAGATTACAAGCACAAGAGAAGATTTTTGATGACTGAGATATATTAACATCTAAGGACACAAACATAGAAGAAAATAGAATAAACATCCCAGGCACAACGACAGCATGTCCTTAGAAGGGTAAGTTAATGAGGATGTTTTAACTATTAATAAGGCAACAAAAATGAAAAACTGTTTACAAGATAATGATCACCCGTTTGCACACACAACACAAACGTGACCGACTAACACATTCTAGCTCGTCATGAGAACACATTCACATACCACAAATTGTATTATTTGATAGTCAGACAATTCTTCTCTTACCACATCAAAAAGTTGATCGCAATAGCTATCATTTCACATGGTTATGTTTCATAAAGAAGTAAAGTTTTGAAGTTCCATGCAGTACAATAACCAACACAATTCAAGGAGAACACCCTAAATAATGTTGTGAAGCTGACCCATCAGTGCTAACCCCTCCTTACTAACATGTATGCATAGACTAACTTCTAAAAGAAAGAAAAATATAAATGTATTAGGAGCCCAGAAAAACTAAAGCCGGAGATATTCACCTGCTTAAATGTGCGAGGACGTCGAGAAGTACCAGCAACTGCAAAATAAAAGCAAATATCAAGAGCGACTTAGCAGAATATGTGTAGTTCATTGCAGACATCCCAACCATGCCATGTCGGCTCCAACATATCAACTATTTGAATTAATAGATATTTATAACCAGTGCCTTATTTAATAAACAGACTCGAGATAAAGCAGCCTGATCCCACAACTTTGCACTAGCATACAATTTTCAAATGGAAGAGATCTTGTTACACCAGTACATGTATGGGAAGACGGAGAAATTGCATGAGCGAAGGGAGGGGAAATAGGAAGAAGGATCACCACTAACAGGAACCAAAAGATCATAGGGTTAGAGTTCCTTCATCATGCATGAATGAAGTCTCCCAGGTTCTTGAATTATTAGTTTGATGTTTGTGCTATATGTCTAAGCCACTCTTATTTGTGTTGTAGGTAATGCCTAAAGAAAAGTACTTTCTCCATTACTTAAGTGTATAAGCACATCAATCTGATATTTCAAGATACTGTAGTCATATTGCACCAGGCATAAACTGAAAACTGAGTTTCAACCTATTAAAAGATTCTACACAATGAGAAAAATAACTACTTTTCGCTTCCCTCAATAACCTGTTTTCTCATTCAAGTTTCTGCTAACAACACAGAGTAAAATCCTTCATGGCACACACACAAAATGAGCACTGCAAGGTTTATGAACATACAACTTCATCCATAATTTTTTTTAAAAACATATCTACAACTACTTCAACTATCCAACTAACCATCAATTATAAGCAAACCTTCACTAAGTAAATTTTCAAACATACTCCCAACTAATTGTAAAAAGCAGCGTGAAAATCCAGCTAAATTCACCTAAGATAATAAAATTCTCCTACCAAATCTACCATAAGAAATTTAAACAAAATCAATTAACGCAACAGATAACGTTCAATCTCCAATCGACCTTTTACCCAAACAAAACAATTCGAATTCCAAGTAATAGATCTCAAAAATTGGTATAACAAATAAAAAAAGGAATCAACTTGGCAGTTCGTAAAGGTAAGTAAAGGAGACATACGCATCTCCTCAGGCGTGGAGAACTGGCGGCGACCAGTAGGCTTTCCCTTGAACTTTCCTCTTCCCATAGCTTTCGCCTTCTCACTGAATGAATCAAAGTTAACAGAAGAAGGAAAGCCAATTGAAGATGGAAAATCGAGGGTTTGCTAGTTTTCGAAATTTCTTCTCTGCGCAAGAAAAAAAGGTATTTTCAAAAGATGAGAAATAAAGGGGAGAAAAAAACCCTAGCTTTTTTGGTGAGTGGGGAATATTTATGGTGCGAATGCTCGTATATTAGAAAGTTGTTGTGAGTGGGAATCGAACATTAAAAGCGTTTTTTAACCATCACAGAAAGAATATGTATTCCGAATGGATTTGGGCCTTTTCGGTATGGAAAAGGCTCTTAGAATTTTGGGTTGGACCCCTTCCTGGACCTTCGAAAATATGTGTCATCTTTTGTATCGCGTCAAGAGAAATGACATAGATAAGATTATTGCTTAAAGAGTTTTATTATCGAATTGATCTCGAAATTGGATTCTGGTGTTTTTAAGGAGGATCTAAGTAAATAGCAAGAAGAAAAGAGAGCTAAGAGAATTATTTTCTAGATGAAGTGGTGGAGGTACATTGTACTGGGGTGAGTTGATTAGACATGATATGATGTTATCGAGGAAGTGAAGATGATATCTTTAATTTCATACAAAATTAAAAATAATACTTAACAAATTTCGTGAGGTTAGTTTTTGCGATCTCATAGGGTTAAGGTTGATTTGAAAAAGAGTCGAGTCCGTTTGGATTGGCTTAAAAGTTGATCAAACCTACTTTGAAGTCAGATTTTGACTTCTGAAAGTGTTTGGCAAATATACAAAATAACTTAAAATAAGTAAAAATGACTTAAAATAAATTACGAAGTGTTTGACAAGGTAAAAAATTACTTAAAATATGTCAGAAATCAAAAGTAGGTCTCCCCCTACTTTTTATTTTTTACTTAAAAGCTATTTTTTTTTAAGTCAATCCAAACGGGCAGAATTAGGAATTTAAAGAAAGGAAAAAGGACAAATATACTTTCGAATTATCGTAAATGATATACGTGTACTCTATACTATGCTATTGAGATACTAGTGTCTCTGCCGTCCAAAAAGTAGGAGCACTAGACGGTAGGAATATTAGTGTCTCAATAATATAACGAAGGGTATACATATATCATTTACGATAATTGGAGGTATATTTATCTTTTTTTCCTTTAAAGAAAGAATTCTCCTTCCTATGAACACCAATTAGTTTTTACAATGTTGTTGTTTCATTGTTTGCACAATTAATAAAACTGGGCCAGGTCATAGTTAATTGATAAAAAAAAAAAAAACTTTACAAAAGTATAAGCAGATATTAACTTTAATATTTGTACATATTCAAATGAATTAATTGACATAAATATACTCCCTCCGTCCCTTTTTAGTTGTCCACTTTAGAAATGGCACACAGATTAAGACAACAATGATTAGCACAGTGAAGTTATAATTTTACCCTTATGACAACTTTTCACTTCAAAATTACAACCACTTATTTGAATTCAAGTGAAATAAATTGGAGGGAAACAACATATACTTTTACAATTTTCAAGAAGTGTAAATAAGGGTATAATAGGAAAAAATTTGTTGTCCTTTCTTGATTTGTCAAAATGGACAACTAAATAGGGACAACTAAAAAAGGAAATATGGACAAGTAAATAGGGACGGAGGGAGTATTATTTAAACAAAATCTAGATTCACTAAATTCACATCAGAATTACTAGCTCTGCCCTATAAGTATAAGTACATTTCTCAGTTTGATTAACTAAGTTACAATCAAATATTTGCAGGTTTCAAGACCATCTCTGGTCTGATTTGGGAAGAACGAACCTAGAGTTTATTCATCTTGATAGGTCCTCTCATTTTATTTATTTTTTATTTATACAATAATCTTTTAACCTTACTATATTTTAATGCATAAATGATCTCAAAGAATTAAACGATGCAATAGCATAAGTTACAATTCAACTTACTTTATGTAATAATGAAACATAAAACTTAGCTAAATTGTGCTCTAACATATTTTAAGATCTAGAAATATATATATACATCTTTTAAAGAAAGGAAAAATTCTTTTGGCCAGAAAATTTGATGAGAATTTGATCAGAATGGTATTTTACTTATGTTATTTTATCTTTTTAAATATTTTTATTCTTTTAACTTTAATATATTTTAATTAAAAAATAGAAAAAAGATCAGTTTATTTTAAAATAAAAAAAATATTATAATTTTTTAAAATTTCTGACCAAATTTATAACCAAATTTTTTAGCTATTTAGCATTACACTCGAACAAAATCATAAGTTCTCAAATATCTTCGTAACTAATCTCTACAACTATACTTCTTTTCAGTATCAAACAAATTTTATATCTTTGAGACTTTGACCATTTTTCCAACGCGTTTTCCAATGCATCATGAATTATTATATTCCCAACAAATTAAATTGGAATATTAAAAGCTTATAAGGAAATAACTACCACTATTCATTGCCATCCCATCACTACTGAATGCTTGCCATCCTCTCATAATTGACTGTATGAAAAGGACACAATGAGTCTACAAAAGAACATTAAAAAAAAATACTTTCTTACACCTTAATTATTTATTCATTTTTAAATTGACATATTTATTTAAAAAATAATGAATAACATAATGAGTTTATTATTTTACTCCTATTAATTATGAAGTGAGTGAATTAAAAACTTAAGATTTTCAAGAAGTTCTATTTTTTTTAAAGTAATTAATTGAGGATATAATAGATAAAAAGAAACTATCCTTTCTTAATTTGTTAAAATAGACAAATATAACTAAAAAAAGAAAAATAGACAAGTAATTAGAAACAGAGGGAATATTATCGATCTTTTCGTGCGTATATGTATATCTAAAAAATTAGTACGGACAGAGGAATTCAATTCTTGATTATTGATTATAATATGCCCTATCTTCATAGAAATATCATTTTATTCAATAAGCATAGTGCATGTATAATAGTATGTCTCTATCTTACGTGGTTTAACTTTTAACATACTGGATCTTAATTTATTACTTAATTGCATTGTATCTTAATCTACTTGTACGATATAACATGGTTTAACTTTAACATATTGGATCTTAATTTATTAATTGTATCTTAATCTACTTGTTCGATATAATTAAGACACTACTATATATAAATACACATAAATAAAATCTTATCGACATTAGTTAATTAGATCAAATGTTGCTATAGGTTATAGAGACATTTATAAAATATTAAGTGCTACTTAAAACGTAAATTTAATGTTAATTATAACTAAAGATCATTTTCGGAGAAAAAATGAGTATCTTTCTTCCAACTTTTATCATTGATCGATGGATCAGTGGAACTATATATTCATATTTTATTTTGTAACTAATTACTACCTAGTACTAATTACCATGCATTCTTATCTTTAAGTTTTGAATTCATTTAACAGATATTTACTACTTGTTTATAAAAATATCCAATTTGAGGATTGAGATGTTTCAATATATTCAATTCTTCATTTTTTTACATGAAATAATTCATCGATTAAATTTATAACTCGCCTTATCACATTATGCATGTGAAATATATCTAACATATGAGTAAATAATAAATTTGATTGAGTTCTTTTTAACGATAGTCATAAATGATGTGCTAAAGGGTCTGAAATTTAATCAAGTACAACATTTAAATAGCCCTTCTTAAAAACATGTATACAAAATTAACAAAAACAAGTTTAACTTAAGGTGCAGAAAGTACAACTTAATTACAACACACTCATATGTATTATTGCATATGATGTGTTCGTAATAACCCTTTTATTCAAACATTACATGGAATTAAAGAAATAAAATTAAAATAGCAAGTACATTAAACTCCAAATTAAATTAAACCTCAGCCACAACTATGTCATACTACTCTCGATCATTGAGAACCCATTTTCCATCTTCTTGTTGAACCATTCCTTTGTTCTTCACAGTCCACCAATTTGCTGGGACAAGATACTCACTTTTCAATGCACCTGAAGATTTGTTAACAAGTGCGATATCGCGATCCACCTCTAGTTTAAAACCGGTTAAAAGTCCTATACCTTGAGTTCCCGCAACTCCATGCATGTAACACTCCAAATTATGCCATGTGATGATATCTCCAGGGAGATTTAAATAAGGGGATTTTGTGGTGTCGATTATTATTTCCTGCCCAACATCGAAATATCCAATAGGTGGGTATTTCGGAACAATATCCAATATGTTATGAATTCTCATAACGTGAAGGTGTTTCAATTTGTTAAATGCGTTTAAAAAATTGAGATCTCCAACTTTAGGACTTGCAAATACAAAAGCTGTCACTGGCATTTGTAGTTCGACTTGATCGATTGAAAAGGAAATCTATTATACTAGATAACTGTTTTACTTAAAAAATATATATGTAAAGAAGGAAAAATGACTGAGTTTTCGAAAAATCGATTAAACTTATAGTTTAAGAGAAATCGAATTTCCAAAATAACAGAGTCGCCACTTAATTTTTTAGTAAAAAATCAAGAAAAAAACTATAAGATTTTCAAAAGATTTAAACAGATAAAATCAATTGAAAATAAAAGGGTTCGAAGTTCAATGTACATTCCGAGAAGGTGTTAGGCCCTTGAAATGCCCGCTAACCCGCGGTTGACCGGCGATTTGACTAAAAAATGATTTTGACTAATTTTTGAAATTTAACTAAGTAAAATGATTCACTTTATTTTAACTAATAATTTTTAGAATTTAACTGAGTAAAGAACTCACGACCTTGACTAATTTGGAAAGTTTAACAAAGTAAAAGAACTAAATTACTTCAACTAATTATTATTATTATTATTATTTATTTTTATTTTTTTAAATCTGAATTAAGTAAAAAGAGCTCATTTATTCTAACTTATTTTTTTTTTTTTTTTTACTATTGTTATTTTTATCATTTTCTTATTTTATTTTTTAGGGGAATGAACTAAAGGGGAATGGGTCATAAAATGTCAACAAGAAAATATATAAAAAAAAAACTAAGCAATAAAATATATATACTTTAATGCGAAAATAAAATGAAATGACCATTCTTGGGGAATTCAATTAAGTTGAACCATAAAATAATCAAAACGTTAGTTAAATATAACAAAATAAATGAGAGCAAGGAGAGGAATATTAAATTTGGGCCTTTGGCCCAAATCTTGGATTTGCTGAAATTTCCTTGGGCCTTTGGCCCCATTTGCTTTCAAGAAATTTGTGTATACACTTTGTGTATATCTCTGTATACGGATCGTATTTGGGTCCGAATTTCTGCATTTTTTCTTGAACAATAGCTATTGACTTATGTCTTATCATCAAACTTGTATCCTCGTATTTTTGCAACCTGTAAACCATATTTTCGGCTGTATACGAGTGTATACAGCAGGTATATCAGCCCTTTTGGGGCCTTTTGAGACCTGCAATCAGTCATTAACCTGTACACCTGCTTCCTTGGCTTCACATATCAGTCCATTGGGACTCGATTTTAAAGGTAACTCGAAAGAAATGCAAGGATGGAGTCCAAAGTGAACTCGAATTGGTGTCACATGCGACAAAGTAAAGAGAAAAAAAATTTAATTAGTAGGGTAAAGGAATATAACATTCAAGGGTATCAACAAGCAATTTAGTACCACCAGTAAGTAGGGGAAGACACAAATAGAAAACTTAACTTACTCTTAAAATAGGATAGCAACATATGCCAAGAAGATATCAATTAATCTACCCACTACCAAGACAAGACGAATCTATTTCCATTTTTATGCCATAAAATACTACCCATTAGATGTGATCACAAAATGGACATCAACTGTATATATCTTCAAAAAAAAAGAATGCAAGCAAGATATGTTCTAACTGGTGCATGCATCATTAAAGGGAAATAAAGAAGAAAGAAAAAAAATAAAATAAAACTATAAAAATAAGAAATAAAAAAATATAGGAAAAAGCTAATTAATTATACATGAACAAAGAAAGTGATTTGACAATTTGCTAGACTTAATCTAAGCTCAACCGGAGAATTCTCAAATGGACACTTAGTCACGTATTGTATGCAAATCATGAATAACATCAAATTTAATTCATTTAAAAATCTAAATTAAACAATCTCAAGAATAAGAGCACACACAACTTGCTTGGTGATTAACAAAAGACTTAACCTTAGACACTACACAAGAAACTAGTGGAAAAAAAAATGATTTAATTTTGACAAAAAGTTACTGCCTCAAGGAAATAAAAATCAAACCTCACATTTCACCTCACTATTTCCTGCTTAAATCACAGTAAATAAACCAACTACACATAGCTAACATTATTCGTGTCGCAACTACTCATAGCAAGGAGCAAAACGACTAGAAAGAAAGAATCAGTTTGTCATTTTTCGCTACTTGAAAATTAACTGATCTCATAACCACAAGCAAAAAATTAGACAGAACGGAGGCATAGACTTGACTCAAACACACATGCTAAACGATAGTACAATCATGAGATTCGCAAATGGAGGAAACAAGTTGTCATATCCAACAAGCAATAGGCAAAACAACATACAACTTTCATACTAATCAGTTATAAGATTCAATCCTCATCTTGAAAATCCAATAACATCAATAGTAGCTTAAAGACGATGAAAATAAAGAGTACGGATTCGCCGACATTCAAGTAAATGGACGAGAAGAAAACAACAAGGACAAACCCAAATGGAGAAACAACAACATCAATCACGAAACAACAAAATTTTTTGAATCCACGCTAAGAGTAAATACTAAAATCGATTCAAGATAGATATAGTACCAAGACACCAAGAACTCAAATAACAAACACATGAGACAAAACGAGATAGGGATGAGGTCGTTACCTTCTTCTGGGCAGCGAACTGGACAACAAACGAGCAGAGGGGACAACGAGCTTCTTCCAACACCACACCCCAAACTCCGAGAGTTCCGACGAGCAGCGAGGATGTCTCCGAAAAATAAAGATCGGCGCTTGAATACCCTCTATAATACTTGATTTTTTTAGTCTGTATTTGCTTTAAAAAAGTCTATGTATCTTTTGTTCTTTCTTGACTTCCAATTTTTCAACTAAACAAATTTTATTTTTTTTTATATTGAAAACAGTAAAGTATATATAGAGAGAGCTTAGGGTTCATGATTTTTGGGGGGAAAAGAATAAAAATTCGGACAGAGAAGGGGCCATTCGAATTTCAAATTTCAAAATTCTTTCACAATTAAGGAGAGACACCTTTTCTTGCAATTTTCGCCCCATTCCGAAAGAGGAAATGAGAGAAAACGCGTGCTCTGCCCGCTGTTGCAACATTAAATGGATAGGAACGTTGGAGAAGAAAACAAAATCCACAGTGTACGCTCTCTGTTTCTGCTACTTGCTGGACTCGGGTTGCTTTCTGTGTTGGATTGCAAATTGGGTTTGTTGTCGCCGGATCGCTGGAGGAAGAAGAAGAAGTGCCGTGGGTACTGTTTGCTGTATGTGCACATTGTTGAAATGGGTTTCTTAGTTAATGAAGGAATTAGGCTGGGCCGGGTCAAGTAAGAGGAGGAATGGGTCAACTTAGGAGTAATAAGAGTGTGGGTTGGAGCTTGGGTTGGGCTGGAAATTGAACTAAAGTATTGGGCTGGCAATTAAGGGAATAAAAGGGAAAAGGGCAGCTGGAAATTGCTGGAAAATTGCACGTAAAATCCCAAAATTTGGTCATTTAAGAATGGGTATAGAGTAAAAAATTAAATCGGTTAGATTTCGGAATTTAAGAAATAGCCAAATTGAGTTGAATTAACGAATTCGGCTAAATCCTAAGTGGGATGGATTAACATTAATTAATTAACGAGCTTCTAAATTTTAACGAAATAGAATAATTAATTTAATCGCAAACCAATGATTTAAAATTATAACCATAACTTGAACTAAACTAATTTTGTGAAATATTTACTAAAACTAAACTCTTTTTGGGATGATTTTCGAACATTCATAAAATATACTAATTAGACACATAATTATATAATAATTAACTTAATTATAAACTAACTAATTAACTCAAAATTGTAAACTATTAGATAACTAAGCAAACTAACCAAATATCTAATTAAACAAATCTTTTGAGACGATTTTCCAATATTTATAAAATACACTAATTATATACATAATTGTATAAAAGACATATTATTATTTAAAAATTATAACAAGTGACAAACTATTTGAAACAACTTGCAAATTATTCTATTATATTTTATTTATTTATTTTCGAAATTTCTAAAATTAATTATTCTAAATCATTTGAAAATTAAGAAGCTCGAGATTAATTATTATCGGGGAGGGTCAAAATTAGGTGTCAACAATAACCTTTAGTTCTGGAGGAGTGACAAATAAGTCGAGTATGAAAAAGAGGTTTGCAACCTCTCAACCATGAATGTGGAGCTCTTCACATCCATAAGTAAGAACTTACACGAACATAATTTCCAAAGCTCTTGGTGCATTGTCACTCAGATTGGAAAGTTGCCTCCGGTGAAAATCAATTTTTTCTAGATGCGAAACTGAAGCCGATAAACCTAAGGAAAAACCCACATGCCTTTTGATACCGGTATGATTTGATTGTGGTGGAAATCACTCTTCAGCTCGCGCCCTAAGAGTTTGTCACTGCTCTACAGAATATGTCCCAGTTCGCTGCTAAGAAAAAGTTTCACGTTGTGCTGCATCCTTATTGATGTCGTCCGCACCTGTGGTTTGACTTAAGAATTCATCCTCTTGGATGCTCTCGACAAAGACTGAGATAAAACTTATTAGCATAAAAAATGTAATTCAAATGGAGAGATAACGTCTTTTACCGTGTTGACACTTAGTCGCTCTCCTTGAACATTTGACGTCAATTTCTTCATCTTGACGTTACACCAATAAAACTTGTATCTCATATTTGCAATATAATTCTTCGAATGTACTCTTCCTTTGATATCGAAATAATAAAATATAGATGATGTAATATGTTGATGGCTCTCTTGATGACGTTCTTGCAAATGTAAATAATGATGATGATTCTTCATTGGTAAGATAATGATAATGATATGATGATGTTGCTACTCTATCGATATGATGATGATGATGCTTCATCGACGGGATGATGATGTTGATGCTCCATTGGTAGGATGACGATGATGATAAAACGATGTTGTTACTCCATCGATAAGATAGTGATGATGCTCCATCGATAAAATGATGATGTTGATGCTCCATTGATAGGATAATGAATCCTCATTGATAGGATGACGATAATGATAAGATGATGATGTCATTCTATTGATAGGATGATGATGATACTCTATCGATAGGATGATTGACAATGATCTATTGATAGGATAATACTGATGAAGGTCCATAGATAGAATGATGATAATAAAGAATCGTCGGTAGGATAATGATGAGGATGAAGAAGATCCGTCGATAGGATAATGTTGATCCATGGTAGAATAATGTTGATGATCCATTGGTAAGATAATGTCGATGATCCGTTGGTAGGATAATGATGATCAATTGGTAGGATAATGTCGATTATCCATTAGTAGGATAATGAAGATCCGTTGGTAGGATAATGATAATTAAGATCCTTCGGTAGGATGATGTTAATGAAAATGAACATATGTTGGTAGGGTGAGGATATTCCGTTGATAGAATGACGATGATGTCCCTCTAGGTGATGGTATTATCTCATTTGATAATACTTTAGGAATGTCTATCCGGGTGGTAAAGACGATGTCCCTCATAGTAGTTCACATTATCGCATCTGATATCAATGAGATTTGTGAATAGTCTTCAAATGTTCTTGATGCTGAAAAATGTAATCTCGTGTCATCGAAGATGCTTGTATATGTTGAGAGTGATGCTTTCACTTGTTCCCATTTTGAACACTTTGTTTTCGTTGTGACTTATGTTTTGTTGGGAATTGAAACGAGGTGTTGTTTTTCGTATTCTAAACTCTTTCTTTTTCTCCTGAAAAACTTAAATGACTTTTCTGCATCCACATAAATGTTGTCAATTTTGGGGAGCTCCTCGCCCTTTTGACTTCTCCATATTTGTTTAATGGAGAAATATTACGAACTTGAGGCAATCTTATAGACCTGCATCCACAGAAAATATGTCAATTTTTAAAATAAACTAATCTTTGTTGACTTCTTCAATCACTTGATCCTTGTCTTGCTATCTTCAGTTGATCGCTCTGATCTCTTGCTTCTCGATAGACAAGACAAAACTTTTTATGCAAAAATATTTGAAACATATAGATAAAATTTTTAAGAAAAAGGTTTTCAAAAAGCTGTAATTGAAAAAGGTCACTGTCAAGTGTCATGTCACGTCAAGTTTAAATGAACGTCATTGGTTTGGAACTTTGGTGTTTCCGATAGGTTTTTCTGGAGAATTCAAAAATCCTTAAAGCTTGAGAAATTTCTGACATGGTTCTCCCAAAATCTACTATAATCGGGAAGTTTTGTAGTTGACTCTGAAATTCAAAGGTGTCGGAGATTGCTGCAGTTGACTATGAACTTTAACAATGCCAGAAATCATTTGAAGTTAGCTTTAAACTTCTAATATACTCGCGTACTACTCTTGCGATTTTCGTCTACTTCACGCCGTCTATGTTGCTGCTTTGGACTGCTGTACGTTCTGCTGGAATGGGCTAATTTGGTAAGTTGTTGTATTGAAAATTAATAGTGGGATGGGTTAAGAATAAATGAATGGGCTGGGTATTGGTGTTGTATGTTGGATTGGGATGGGAACGTATGTTGTTATATTGTTGTGTATGTTGAGAAGGTATTGGATTGGGTCTGAAAAATGGGAGGCAAAGAGAGTGGGCTGATGAATTTGAATTGATTGGGAATGGGCTGCTGAAATTTACAAACAGGGCCCAATTTTAGTTTATCACAAATAGGGAGTGGAATGTTCAAAAACTGGGACATTTAATATCAGAATAGTATATTATTGATTTCATTCATCCACGTCTAGTGGAGGAGGTGGATAAACCTTGGTGGATGGAAAATACAAGTGGAAAATTTACAGTCAAATCAGCATTTGAACTGCTGAGACGTAGAAAGGAAAATGAGGAATGGAGAAATAATTTATGGGGCAAGCAAATACCTTTTAAGATGAGTTTTCTAATATGGAGGATTTGGAGGGGCAGAATTGCAATGGAGGAAAATCTGAAAAGGATGGAAATTACTATAGCCTCAAGATGTTATTGTTGTGATGTTTTTGAAGAGGAGAATACACAACATCTTTTTCTAACAGCTCCAATAACCCAAAAGCTATGAAGGCAGTTTGCTTCATGTGCAGGTATTCAACAGCAAGGAAATTTGAAACAAATGATAACAGAATGGTGGAAACCTAACACTCCTATCAAAGTGAAATTCGTGTTCCAAGCAATACCAAACATTATAATATGGAAATTGTGGAAACGGAGAAATGCAAGAAGATATGGTATGGACATCAGTTTTTTAAGTTGAAGAATCAGTGTGTCAACACTATTATTCAGCTAATAAAAATGAAATATCCATGGATTAAAGTTCCTAGAGAATGGGGGGAGATAGTCAAAGTACTTAGGGAATACAAACCCAGATTGCATTACTGTACAGTGAGCTGGAGGAAGCCTTATAGAGGTGCATTAAAATGCAATACAGATGGAGTTAGCAGAGGAAATCCTGGGGAAAGTTCCTATGCTTTTTGTCTAAGGAATGACATAGGTGATATTATATATGCGGAGGCGGAGCGACTGAGGATTAAGACTAATATGGAGGCAAAAACTATTGCAATTATTAGAGCACTCAGGCATTGCAAGACAAATAATTTCAGAAATTATATTCTGGAGACAGACTCATTAAGTGTCACAAATATGGTGCGAAACAACTGGTAGGTCCCATGGCAGCAGATAGAGGAAATACAAGAGTTACTTGTATCTACACAAGCACATATACAACATGTTTTTAAAGAGGCTAATAAACTAGCGGATAAATTAGCAAATGAAACATGTGAGAAAATAAATGTAATACAAATTCATACATTTCAACAACTATTAGTGGAATGTAGAGGAATTATGAACATGGATAAAGCAGAAATCCCTTCAATACAGATTAAAATAAGGAAGATAACAATCCAGGCAACACATCAGGAGAGAGATCAGGGAAATTAACAGAAGAACACAGTTATGCTATGTACAACGCCATTAAAGGGACATACATAACTATGAATCAAACAAAGATACCTAGAACTAGCTATGACAGCTTACAAAAAAGCTCCACCAGCAAAAAAAAAATCTTGTCAAATCAGATTTGGGAAAGGTGTGCTGCGATTGTTGACGGAATCAGATAGGAATTGGACTGAGAATGTCTGTGCTTCAGCTGAAAAGAGATGTAATCCTATACATCCACCCAAGTATACCAATAAAAATGGAGAGGATATCAGAAACAGAGAGTCACTACAACAGAGAAATGAAGAGGGAAGAACACTTACTTCTGCAGGCTACGAAAGAAGAAAGGGAAGAAGAGCAGGAGATTAACATCTATAAACCACAGCATAAGGATAAGCAAAGCATTGTTCCTCAAAGATCGTGTGAAGAACACAGTGAAGAAAGAGGCAGAGGAGTGAATGAGGAGGCAATTAGGAAATCCTATCATTTAGGGATCTATGCTATGCCTTTTCCACTTGAATTGGACACATTAATTAAAAAAAAAAACACAAATGCGTTTAGGGAATTTGGCTAATAACTAAATAAGATGAATTAATATAAATTAATTTAATGAGCTTCTTAATCTTAACGAAATGAAATAATTAATTTACTTATAAAAATAATTAATCTAAATACAAACTAATTAATTCAGAAAATTAAACTATAATCCAAACTAAAACTAAATCAATAAAATACTTAATTTAATCAATGTTGAACTCTTTTGCTACGATTTTCAAAATATTTGTAAGACATAGTAAATACATATATAATTATATAAAATATAGTTATTATTCAAAATACTACAAAGATCGATTGAAATTACTTAAAATAATCTCGAAACTAATTTGAATTATATAAAGGTAATTATTCTAAATCATTCAAAAAATTAAGAAACTCAGAAATTAATTATTATCGGGGAGGGTCAAAATTGGGTGTCAACATCAATTTCCACCTTAATTCTCAAGTTACACATAATTGCATTTTACAATTTTGAGAATAGTCACAATATACAATTCTTTTAAGACATCATCTTGTTTAAGTCCAAAGCGGCATACTCTTCCCTATGTCTCCTTCCACAATCTTCAATTGCACCTTAGCTTGATCAACATCGGTCCCAATTCGTCATTTATATGCTTTTATTCTATAAAAATGCCTATCAGCAATAGGAAATATTTTAGCACTAACATAACAATGATTTAGAATTTCAAGGAGAAAAAAATATGTCTATGATAATTGTTTTACAAATATGTTTAGTAAATAAAAAAAAAATACAAAGTAAGCAAAGAAGTATAAAACCCGTAACTTTTAAACTTCTTAAAACCTGTAGATATAGATCTCAAATTTTAGTATCAAGTATAAAATTCATGCCTAGTCAAAAAATTTCTTTTACATTAATAAAAATATATAATCCATTGTAATATCCATCGATTCAAGCTATGACAACAATTTCTTGCAAAATAATAATAATATATAATTGTGTATGATAAATTATTTGTGGTTCAATCTCTTCTTGAACCTATACATAATAGAAAGTTTAAAGCATACGATTGAGTAAACAAAATAAAAACTCATATTGTAAAAACCTATCTCATCTACTTGGAGAATGTTGTGTAAAACCTACAAAATAAAAATTAACAAAACATTAGAAATAAAAAAATAGAACAAAAAACTGGGATAAAAAAGGATGAAGGCCTAGGGAGGAGCGGACAAGAAGGATATGAGAAGAGGGCAAGGATATTAGATTTTTGTTTATTGGGTTTTAAAATTTTTAATCTTTTGAATTTTTTTAATTCTGGGGAGAGAACTTTTTGGATCTATATGGGGAAGCGGCAAGAGAGTTAATTTAGGTGAAAATTTATGTTTTACTTTTATAGTTATCATCTCTTTTTTGTATAATAATTTTGCTTCTTTTAAAATTAACAAATACATTTGTTATAAATATAAAAATACAACAATTGTTATATAAAATTAACAAATATAATAACAAAGAAATAATTTCATGAAAACAACAATAATTAATAGTATTAACAGTACTAAAAACCAATATATATTGTACTTTAAGTTCATGGAAAAGGTAAATAATTTATATGAAAAAAATATTATTCTAAAAAATATATTTTTTGATCCTTTATTAATAGGGATGACAATGGAGAGGTGCGGGTTGGGGCGGTGCGGTGTGGTGAGGTCTAAGAAGGATAGAGCATATCCAAATGGTACCACTATCTCGTGAAGGTAGAGAGACCATTGACTCATATTAGTTGTTAACATTAATAAAAATAGTTATCCCAAATTACTCGTCAATTTATTAAATCATGATAGAATTAATTACATTTTTTTTCAATTTCCCTTACAATTAACACTTTTTAAAAGTCTACACAAGTTTATGAAGTTCCAGATAAAGAAAAATTATGGAGTAAAATAGTATAAATTATCCTTTATATTTCTACTTTCTTGGCATCCATGCCAAGGAAAAAATAGACAATTAATACAAAACGGAGGGAATAATGTTTAGTTAAATTTATGACCAATGTTAATTTTGAATAACTTATTTAGTTTGAATTAAAAATATAAAAATTATATGAATTTAAAATAATTTTCTCTACGTACCTCTGAGAGAGGGGCAAATTTGTGTACACTCAAGTATCTCAAGACATATATTGATAAAAGTTCTTGTTATGCTGTACTCTCGTCAAATCTCATATTGTAGCAATATACTGAGTATTTATTATTATTATTTTTTATTATTTTATATGAATTTAAAATGATATATGCATTAGAATGTCAAGTTAAAAATAGAATAAAACTGTCAATATCAGAAAATATATTTAATCTATTTATATAGAATTGGAGAAGCAAAATAATATTGTGATGGCAAGTGTCAATTACCATACAATTCAAGTTTGAAAATAATTTTAAGATGAAATTTTCAAAAGAAAATAAGAAATTCAATACAATTTTTTTATATCAACCATGTGAATTCAAATTCAAGTTAAATTGTTTAACCATAATGAAACTATACTTCCACATTGTTTACCTATTTCAATTTGAATTTTTTAAATAGAGATGTGAATTTTGAATTGTAGTTTTATAGTTTTTATTAGAAATGCAAAAATTATATGGATTAGGAAGTTAAGATTAAACTAAGAGAATCAAAAATAATTATTTTTTTTTGTCAATAATAGAAAATTAAAAAAGAATTGAATGTTAATATCACTTCTTTGTGTATTGTATTCAATAAACAATTAATTTATCTATCTATATTCCATAATAATTCATATTGCATATTTGAATAAAATATGACATTATTTAATGATTTGTAAATTGACTATACATATTTTTTTTTATATAAAAACAGTACAAATACATCCAATTAATTAGACATAACTTCTATTTATTTAAATTATACTTAAACTTAAAAATTAAGAACTTGTAAAATTGAAATGATAGAAAGATTAATATCTCTAATTAATCTAGCTCGATAAATATATTTTTTGATAGAAGAGGTTTGAGTCATATAACATGAACTCTCAACACAAGATGAAATGCCTCAACGCTTACGTTTCACCTCGTATTAGATAACATGTATCACCTCAATTGTACTCACACAGTTATATCATTTTGTCATGACAAATAATTATAACCTTTTAAGTTAGTTATTACAACAATTTTTTGCTACTCAAAACATAATATTTATTAAGTTATAATATTTTATTTTAAATTATTTCTTATGGATAAAAGGTTAATATTGCTTCAACAATTTTCAACAAGATAGTGAAAAAACTTAATAATTAACTATAAAATTGTATTATAGCAAAAAAATTATGAATATATTTTTAATATTCTGCAACTTTTATAACTTGAAAAAAGAACATTTAGCTACAACTATTTCTTCAAATAACTTATTAAGACCGAAAGGTTATTGTTACTACGATAAATTCAAATTCATGGCAACAAGTAATTATCAACTATGAAATTTTATTATAAAAGAAAATCTATGGCTATTTCATTTAATTATTGCCACAATATTTTATGACTTGAAGCTAAATTATTTATTTAGCTACAAATATTTCTTCAAATAAGTTATTGTGGCTAAAATATTATTATTACTACAATAAATTTAAATTCGTGGCAAAAAATAGTAATTAGTTACGAAATTTACTATAGAAAAAACTCTATGGCTATTTCATTTAAGTATTGCCACATCTTTTTATTACTTGAAGCTAAATTATTTATTTAGCTACAATATTTTGTTTCAAATAACTTATTATGGTTAAAGAATTATTATTGCCACAATTAGTTTTATTGCATAGCAAAAAAGTTATAATTAGCTACAAAATTTTAATGTAGCAATAAAATTGTAGCTAATTAGTTAATTATTGCCACGATTGTTAGCAATTATAGCAAATACAAGGATTTAGCTTTGTCAACTTAATATTCGTGGCTAAGAAATTTGACGAATTTTTAGGTAGCCACATAATATAAATTTTTATGGCTTTACTAGGTAATAGCTATGATTTTTAAATTCATAGCTTAGATTTCGTAGCAATAAGTATATTTTCTTGTAGTGGTGGTGGCGTGTAGTATTGGATAGGTGTGTGGGGGGGGGGGTTAACGTATGGGAGGTTTGGAGTGTAACGGTAATCAAGGAACTCTAATCAATGTAAATCCCTAAATTTGTGTAACTGATAAATTTTGTTTTAAAAAAGGAACTGCAATCAAATTAATTAACTATTAATAATTAATAATATAAAAATATAAAGAGATTAATCATTTATTAAATTAAATTGCAATTAATTTTTAAATAAACTTAAATTTAATTGATATGTTATAACCCGTAAGTAAACTGTTATAAGTAAGAATTTTTTAAGAGTATGTTTAAAATCCGTAATATTGTCTCTTAAATGTGTATATGGTGTGATTTTTCCTTAATTGATGGTATAATAGGCAAAAAGAAATTATCCTTTTTTAATTTGTCAAAATAGACAAGTAATTAAGGATAACTAAAACCAAAAAAATAGACAAGTAATTACGACAGAGGGAATATTACCGATCTTTTCGTGCGTATATGTATATCTAAAAAATTAGTATGGACAGAGGAATTAAATTCTTGATCATTGATTATAATAATATGCCCTATCTTCACAGAAATATTATTTTATTCAATAAGCATAGTGCATGTATAATAGTATGTCTTTATCTTACATGGTTCAACTTTTAACATATTGGATCTTAATTTATTACTTAATTGCATTGTATCTTATCTACTTGTACGATATAACATGGTTTAACTTTAACATATTGGATCTTAATTTATTAATTGTATCTTAATATACTTGTACGATATAATTAAGACATTACTATATATAAATACACATAGATAAAATCTTACCGACATTAGTTAATTAGAT